TTTCATAGCATTTTTAATAAAGAAAGAGTAATGCTTCCTACTTAATTGCCAATTACGATGAGGGGAACTCTGGTGGCAGAGTCCAGAAAGAGTTGCATTGCCAGTTTGCCAGTATTAAATCTACCAGTGGTTCCAGGGGACAAGGATGGACAGTCTCCTCCTTTATGATACATAGACTCAGAAACTCAGTGGAAAGTCAGTGGGATCAAGTCACTCCTGACCTGATGGCAGTAAGGGAGGGAGCGAGTTATGATGACTGAAACCTTAGGTTGTGGTGGTTTCAACAATTTTAGGGAAATAATATCATTGTAAATCAACTTTTGCTTTCCTTGCATTCATTCCTTTTGCCATCCAGTCAAATTTTTACTCCTAGGGAACCCCTCACAATACAGTAGATTTGCCTTGCACACGTTACAAGTCTGTCAGTCATATAGAATAAGGTTCAAGCCAGTTCATTCTAGTTTAACCCCTACTGAAATTTTGCATTTCCACTCCAAAATACTGAATCAGAATCTACAGAATCTAAGGTGATTCTTAGGAATCCCGACCTAATACTTGTTAACTTGTATTACTACATTGCATGTGGTCATATTGAGTAAGTGTTTTTTACTTACATTTCAGACCGTTTCCATATGAAAAACAATTGTAGTCCAAATATTCCACCTTTTTTGTTTATAATCCATGTTGTTTTAAGTTTCTGCTTACTCTTTGAATGTATTGTATGCATTTTATTAATTTGCTGGTACTCAATCCCATTCTCAATTGAGTGCTTTGGTTAGTTATAGTACTTAACGTTCCAGCTACAAATAATTACTATATATGCTGCTGCATTTACTGAATTCAGATGTAGTCATCTGAAGCAACACATATTAAAAATAAAGAAGTTAAAAATGAAATTATTTCTAATTGGAGTTAAAGATATATATTCAGTTGTACATTGTTAAATATGTCATTCATATGTTCTGTTCATTGTTTTCCGTGAGTATATATTAATTTATTAAATGTTGGGGTTTTTTTGGTCTAAATATCTTAGAAGTTGTATAGAAAAAGAACTTATACTAAAACATATCAGAGTACTATACTGATAAAAGTAACTTTTAGTGTTTAAACATTGAGAATTTGAGGGTTTAAATAGTGGTATTTTTTGAAAGTTTTAAAGCTATAATCATATCTCTGGTAGTCTTTAGTGGAAATAATTTTTAAAACATTTTATTTCTACTTCAACAAGTTAATTGGATCAAGTTTTCAAAGCTACACTGACTTTAAAGATGTGAAATAAACATGATTATATCACTAAACAGAATTTGTGTTTTAAAAATGTGCTAATATAAAATACTAGATTTGTCATTATCTGTGAACATTTTTTGTTGTGTGTTTAATGTGTATGTCAGTCTTGACTTCATCTTTCATCCATCATTTTATTTTTTTCTGCTTTCTAATGGAGATGCTTAAACTTGAGGTAATGTGATTTTGGGAGGCTTTTTAATATTAGTAAAATCTTTAATGTAATACCCTCTATCATCATGACAGTTTTGTATTTTAATGAATATTGGGACTTGAATAACATAACAGTTTTAGTTTTATTGATAAGGTATGCTTTCCATCATCAGTATGTGATTGTTTGTTGACAGTAATTCAGTAGTAGAATAATTTTAACTTTGAAGCTTCAGTAGGATGATTGCTTAAAATACTTGTTTTGTAACTTTAAATGTTTTAGTAAAAACTAAATGTTGACTTTAATAACATGCTTCAAGAATGCAAACTGTTTTCTAGGGTAGAATATGCTATTTTCACAGAAACAAGTAACTCTTAATTTTATTGAGACCTTGCTAAAGACTTAAGAGTTGTCTTAAGTATCATAAATAAAGAAGTAAATGAAGTATTTGGTTACATAAAGCTTGAATCCTTTTATAAAAGTCAGATAGTGTACTTACTAAATACTCAATATATCCTTTTTTATTTTCATGGTTTAAGGAGTTTTTATTAAAGCAAGAATTTTATAATCTAAATATGTTTCCTTGCTCTAAATATATTCTTATAAATGATCTCATAACACTGACATCCAGAGAATATATAAAAACATTTACCTTTATATTTTCCTTATCTAGGTTTTTTGGTTTTTTTTTGGTTTTGTTTTTCTTTTACATGTTAGAGTTTATTACCAACATTGTTTTTGTTATGTCCTGTGGAGTCTGAACTGATGCGTTGCTGACCCCTTAGCAGGTTTTCAGAGGTAGTCAATCATTTGGAGAAGATTGTCCGTGAATCTCCTCAGCACGAAATCACCAGATCTCTCTATAGGAGATAGGCATGAAATCTTATATTTGATTTATTGTATTTAAAACACTTTAAAATGCAATCAATGAAACACACATAATTTGCTCTTGAATTTAAGTTCTCCTTTGTTTCTGTAGTGTGTGTCAGACACTATGCTAAGCCCTCTGATATTTATAAGTAGACATTTAAATGGGATTATTTACATTATTTTGTGAAAAATTTTTATTTTTATTACATGATTAAAACATCATAATAATTTAAAATAGTAGAATTGTTCCTAATATGTTTACTGACACCATGTGAGAAATTTCAGAACTAATTTGGCAAACACTTAAACACTAGTTTAATTAACTCTGGTGATTAAAATAAAACAAGCCCTTAATTGTCCACCTTATTTACATTCTGTTTACACAATTCCAAACCAGACCCTAGAAATGGATAAGAGACTATTATACCTTCTCTTGTTCTTAGATGCCTTTGTCCTAGAGTCAACTCTGAGTCCTGCCAACCTTAAGAACATCACACCTGAACTTTGCCCTATCCTATGTCATCTTCTCCATCTCCAGTATGCTTGAACCTGTTGCTATAGTCGCTCTGGCTGTGCAGTACACAGTGGTTTTCACTGCTGTAGCTCACGTGGCTCTGGCATTTTTAATCTACCAATTACTCCCAAGAAAGAAAGTCTCTTCCCATAGGATTTACAACCTCAGAAACCCAATGGAAAGTCACTGTGAGTTGGAATTAACTCAGTGGCAGTGAGTTTAGTTGTTGTGTTCTTGGTGGTGGTTGTTTTTTTTTAGTTTTTGTGTTGTTGTTGGTTTGATTTTTTTTAATTTAGTTTCTTAAAACAAAACAAATGGAAAATGTATACCAGGCACTTGAGTGCCCAGAAGAATAGGGATAGCTCTTTTGATTGTGTTCCATTAAGTTAGTAGTCTTCTCAGCTTTCTCCCCAAAAGACAAAGGCAATAGTACTATATGATATATTTGACTGCTGCTATATTGCTTAAGAAACATATTTATAGGGGAGCTCTGGTGGCCTAGTGGCAAGAAGTTGCAACTACAATCCCAGAGGTGCACGGTTCGAATCCACCAGATGCTCTGCCGGGGAAGGAGGGGCAATCTTCTCCTGTACCAGTCAGATCTGATTTGACGGTACACGCACACAAAAATAAAAAATAAAAAAAAGAAACATATTTATGTTTCTTTTAAGTTGAAATTTGGAAGTATAGTATTCATATCCATATTAAGTGATTTATTTAAAGCAGAAGATATTAGGATACACCATTAACTTGAACACAGTGTGTATATTTGAACATTTCTTTCATTTTTTTTGTATTTATATATCTTTCATCCTTTAGTGTTTATTTAGTAATAAGGAATACTCATTACCATCAAGTCAAAACTGACACTAGTTGACCCACCAGTAGGCTTTTGGAATCTTTAAATTACACAGGAAGAGATAACTCATCTTCCTATTGATGAGCTGCTGCTAGATTTGAACCACCAGAATAAGTGTATTCTTTGGATTAGCCGTGCAGCTGTCTATGGACTATGCCAGAGGCCCCTAATAAAGAATATGTTGTTTTGTTGTTGTGTACCATAGAGTTGGATACCATCTATGGTACCCATAGCCTACCCTCAGAGGCAGTTAATTGCATGAGAAGCAATCACCCATCCTTCCCCATGGAGTAGCTGGTGGCCTCAAACTCTGTGCCTTCATAATTGCAGCACAGCTTTCCACTAGGCCACCAGACCTCTAATAAAGAATATAGACAGTGAAAATAATTGTAACTTTAAGAATCTTTTTAAAAACCACCTCCAGACCCGTCAAGTAATATATGAAATTAATACAAAATTCTTATGCAATAGTATGACTAAGATGCTTGATTAAGAAATTACGTTAAGAAGTTTTTTGGTTAATATTACTTTCAGGAAACGACTGCTTAAAAAAATTAGTACTTAATATTTCTTTTGAATGGGTGATGTCTTCATAAATAGGTATTTTTTTTTTTTACTTCTTAGGCTTCCCCTTCTATCATTATTGTTTTTTTTTCCTATTATTAAACTATTGTTTTAATAATGCATGCTTATTTTTTATGGAAAAAAAAGCTGGTCAAATGTGTTCAAGCATAGTAATGTCCAGTTATTATGCATGATAATGGAGTCACCCATTATATAGCTTAATGAAGCTATGTGGACTATAATTTCATAACTAGAGGAAACATGTTTTCAGAATAATCAGAAAGTGATTCACCAAGATTTATCTGTATTAGATGTTTTCACATAACCGTTTTTGTTTTAAGGAAAAGACTATGTTATAGAAGTTGAGAAAAAGTATATGTATATATAATTTGGAATATTTGTATCCTTTTTAAATTTAGGAAGACTAAAATAGTTTCATAACTAGTACATTCAAGTTTGCAGTTTAGTGCTTAAACTAATTTCATACACATAAAGTAAGATGCTAAATTCTCATTACATATAATATTAAATGAAGTGGTGCATTTTGAACAAATGTTTAAAAATTAGTTTCTAATCAGGAAAAGTATGGGTAGCAATAGGGTATTAGGATGAAGAATCAAGTTTGAAATTCTAAGGGTTATTTAGACTTAAGAACAATAGCAATAACAAAAAAATCTATATAGTCTTAAAACTTTTGTTTACTGATATTTTCTTTACCATTTTAGACTATTCTAATTGTATTTATATTTATTTTTTAGGCCACAATAAGTCAGCTAAGAAGCGAAATTGCCAAAGGTCCCCAGGAAGTTGCTGTGTATGTACAAGAAGTACAAAAACTTAAAAGTTCAGTTAATGAATTAACACAAAACAATCAGGTAATTTGAGATGTTTATGTAGTGGTGAATTGGTTTTCTGGATCTTGAATTTTTTTCTTCTTTAAATTGTTTTTCATAAAGTAACTTATAGACATTGTATTTTCTACAGTCTCATTTACATTGTTTCATACAATCATTCAAATATATTGTATTTATATGGCTAATTACTGTTGATCTATGAATATTACTACCCCATCTTTTCAAGTTCCCCTTGAATTTTTTCTGTTCCTTAACCATCAGCACCACTCCGGCTTCCATGTGCTCACTAAACTCAGCTGTCCTAGAGAGTTCCACGTTTCCCCTTTTATCACTCCCTTGACCCTTTCCCTTTTAGCTATTTATATACATATTTATCCTCTTATTTTTATAGTAACGGTCTTATGGAGTATTTGTCCTAATGAGACTGCGTAAGCTCTCTCAGTATAATGCAGTCTAGACCCTCCCATGTTATACTGTATTTTACAAAGTATTTGTTCCTTAGTGCTTATCACATTCCATTGTATTAAAAGTACCAGAATTTCTCAGTCCATTATTTTGCTGATAGGCATTTAGACTGTTTTCATTGTCTTACTATTGTGAATAATGCTACTTTGAACATTAATGTACATATCTTTGTTCGTTTCTCAGTTATTATTTCCTTGGGGTATAGCTGGGTCATAAGGGATTTCAATGTTCAGATTTTTTTTTAAATTTTTTTATTATTTTGTGTGTGCGTACCATCAAATTGGATCTGACTGGTACAGGAGGATGTTGTACATCCTTCTTCAGCAGAGCATCTGGTAGATTTGAACCATCCACCTCTGGGATTGCAGTGCAGCTCCTTGCCACTAGGCCACCAGAGCTTGCCTCAATGTTAAGATTTTGAGAAAATTCCCACTTCCTTCTAGAGTGATCGTTGTGCCATTTTACATTCCCTCCAACAGTGCATGAGAATTAATCTTTATACCTGCTGTTTTGTTAATCTTTGCTACTTCTGTAGGAGTGAGATAGTCTCTTGTTTTGATTTGCATCTCTCCAATTGCCAGTGATTTTGAACATTTCATCATGTGTTTGTTGACCATCTGAATGTCTTCCTTTTTGCAAAGTCTTTTCATGTTTTTTACCCATTTTGTTATTGGGTTATCAGCCTTTTTCTTGTGGTGGCCTTGTAGTATTCTGTAAACTTTAGTTATGAGACCCTTGCTTAAGATGTCATTGCCAAGTATTATTTCCTAGTTTGTAAGTTTTCTTTTTCCTCTAAAAATTAGTTTTTGATGGACATAGGAACTTGAGTTTTAGAAAGACCTATTTGTGGATTTTTTTCCTTCTGTTTGTGCATTTATAGCTATCTTTGCAAGCCTAATTATACCATAAACTAGATCTTCTAAGTTTGGTTCCATTTTGTTTCTTACGATCCCTATGGTTGGGGCTTTACCCCTAAGTCTCTGATCCATTTTGAGTTGATTTGTGCGTATGATGTGAGATGTGGACCCTGCTTCAGAGTTCTATGTCCTGTTTTGTCAGCACAATTTGTTGAAGAGGTTGTTATTTTTGCATTTAATATATTCTTATTCCTTGTCAAATATCAATTGACCGTCGGTAGAAAGGTTAACTTCTGAATTCTCAGTTCTATTCTATTGAGTTATGTGTTTGTCATTGTATCATTACTATGTTGTTTTATTTATTATGGCTATGTAGTAGGTTTTGAGATCAGAGAGTGCTATTTTCAGAACAGCTTTGCTTATTCAGGGACTAGTTAAATATACATTGTATATTTAGATTGGTTTTGGTAGGATTGTCATTTTCATTATTTTGAGGTTTCCTATGCAAGAACAGGAAAAAGATTTCCATTTTGTTAGGTTTCTTACTGTTTTTTGTAGTACTGTTTAGTAGTTTTTGTTATAAAGGCATTTTGTGTCTGTGGGTTTATTCCCAAATATTTAATTTTATAGTTGGCTATTATAAATGGTATTGCTTCCTTAGTTTCCTTTTCTGTGTTTTCTTTGTTGCTGTAGAGAAATCTCATTTATTTTTGTTTTTGTATGTTAATCTTATATCATTCTACTCTACTTAATTAGTCTATTAGGTCTAACAGGTTTCTTTTGGTTGAATCTGTGGGGTTCTCTGTGTACACTATCATAATGTTTGCACATAGTAACAGTTGTACCACCTCTTTGCCAATTTGGATGTCTCTTATTTCCTTCTCTTATCTTACTGCTCTAGCATGTACTTCAAATACAATATTGAATAGGAATGGTGAAAGTGGGTATCTTTGTCTGGTTTCTGGAGAATTTTTTACAATGTGGAGGAAATTCCTTCTATTCCTATTTTTTTGAGTGTTTTAAATAGGAAGAGATACTGAATTTTGTCAAAGGCCTTTTCTGTATCAATTGATAGGACCATGTGGTTCTTATTCTTTGCTAATATAATGGATTACATTGTTTTTATTATGTTGAACCATCCTTGCATACCATACCTATTATGGATCTCATTTGGTCATGATAAATTATTTTTTTTCATATACTATTATATTGGCCAGAATTTTGTTAAGTATTTTTGAAATTATGTTTATGAGAAATATTGGTCTATAGTTTCCATTTCTGGTACTGTCTTTTCCTAGTTTTAGTATGAGTGTTATGCTTGCTTCCTTGAAGATTCTGGGAAGGTTCCTTCTTTTCCTATTTTATAAATTAATTTAAGTGGAAATGGTGATAGTTCATCTCTGAATATTTAATAGAATTCAGCTGTGAAACTATCTGGGCCAGGACTTTGGTTTGTGGGGAGTCTTTTCATGCCTTGCTCAATTTCTGCTTTTGTGATGGGTCTACTCAAGTGTTTGACATCTGTCTGGGTCAATATGGGATAAGGTGTGAGTTTCTAGGAATTTCTCCATTTCCTATAGATTTTCAGATTTATTGGAGATAGCTTTAATAATATTCCATTACTATAAATTTAATTTTTTCTAATTCTATTGTGATGTCACCTCTTTCATATCTTATTTGAGTTATTTGTATCTTCTCTTTTATTTCTTTGCTTAAGTTTGCCAATAGTTTGTCTATTTCCTTGGTCCTTTTGAAAAGCCAACTCCTGGTCTATTGATAATTTCAGTAGTTTTTCTCTTTTTCTATCTTGTTGATTTCAGTCCTTGCTCTTAAAATTTCCTTTTTTCAAAAGGCTGTAGGATTAGCTTGTTCTTTTGGGGGGTTTTAAGTCATTAGTTTTATTCCTTTCTTTATTTATATGTTTGCCTGCTGCTATTAACTTCCCCCTGAAGACTGCCTTATCTGTGTCTCAGAGGTTTGTGCTTTTTTATGTTTTAAATAGAATTTTCATTTTATATTGGTTTATTGACAGAGTTCATATACATTGTTTTTCACACCAGATTTTTCCCAATTCCTTTACCAGTACCTCTCTCCACTCATCAAATTGTGCAACCCAATGGTTAAACCCCCCTTCCTGCCCATCCTCATCCCTCTACTACCACCCTCCCTGCCTTGGATCCTCATACACATTCTACAATATTAGTCTTATACAGTATTTGTTCTTATGGGACTGAATTAGTTCACTTAGCATAAAACTCTTCAGTCTCTCCCAAATTAAGTAGTAATTTATAAAATCATTGTTCCTACATGCTGCATAGTGTTCCATCAGGTGAATATACCATAATTTCTCAAACCATTTGACTGTGGTTGGACATTTAGTCTGTTTAAATATTCTTGTGATGATGAATAATTCTCCTATGACCATTGGTGTACAAGTCTCTGTTTGTGCCTCAGTTCTTATTCTCTTGGAGTATATTCCAAGCAGTGCAATAGCTGGGTTATATGGAATTTCTGTGTTCAGTTTTTTGAGGAAATGACAAACTGCCTTCCAGAGTCTAAGTACCATTTTACAGTCCCACCAACAATGTATAAGAGTTCCTATCTTGCCACATCCTCTCCAGCATTTATTACTTGCTATTTTGTTAAACTTTGCCACTGCTACTGGAGTGAGATGGTATCTCATAGTAGTTTTGATTTGCCCATGATTTTGAACACTTCTTCATGTGTCTGTTATTCATATATCTTTCTCTGGGAAAATTCTTTCCATATCTTTTGCTTATTTTATAATTATTTTATCAGTTTTTTCCTTGTGGAGCCCTGTAGGATTCTGCAAACTTTTTATATACCTTTGTCTGAAATGGTATTGCCAAATGTCTTTTTCCAGTCAGTGGGTTTGCTTTTTACTCTGATGGAAAATGTTTTTGATGCACACAGGGATTTAAGCTTTAGATGGTCCCATTTATCAATTTTATCCTACCCAGATTGTGCATTTCTGGCTGTATTTGGTAGTCTCTTTATACCATAGACTAGTCCATCTAAGCTTGATCCCAGTTTATCTCTGATGAACTTTGTGGTTTTGGGATTTACTCCCAGATTGCTGATCCACCTTAAGTTAACTTTTGTGTAAGGTGTGAGAAAGCTGTTTCAGCTTTCTGCAGGTAGCAGGGAAGATTTGCCAGCACCATTTGTTGAAGAGGTTGTCATATCCCCATTTGATAGGTTTTCTTTGCATGTCAAATATCAGTTGACTGTAGATAGGTGAGTCCATTTCTGGGTTTTCAATTCTCTTGCATTAATCTATGTGCTGTCATTGTACTAGAATGATGCCACCCATTTCATTTCTGTTTTCAGAAATTCTTTGTTTATTCGAGATTTCTTTCCTCTCCTAATACGTTTTTTTATGATAACTGGGTCATTTTCATCAAGAAAATTTCCATTATTTTCTCAGTGTTTTCTCTTCCCTCCTTCTATTCTGGAATGCCAATCACATACATGCATGTTGTTCAATTTGATAGTATCTTCACATGATTCTAATATTGTCTTCATATTCCCTCAGTCTTCTCTCTGTTTTTTTTCTTCTAATAAGTTCCTATTAAAATTCTTGTCTTTTATCTCATGGATTCTCTGTTCTTTACCTTTTTTCTGCTTTTTGTCCCTCCAGTATGTTAGAAATTCTTCCATTTTTGTATTCATATTCTC